CCACCCCTCACCACTCCAGCAACCCTGTTTGTTTCCTGAGATTAAGAGTCTCTTATGGTTTGTCTCCCTCTCTGTTTTTGTCTCGTTTCATTTTTCCCTCCCTTCCCCTATGATCCTCTGTCTTGTTTTCAAATTCCTCATATCAATGAAATCATATGATACTTGTCTTTCTCTGATTAAATTATTTCGCTTAGCATAATACCCTCTAGTTCCAACCACGTTGTTGCAAATGGCAAGATTTCGTTTTTTGATGGCTGCATGATATTCCATTGTGTATGTGTATACCACATCTCCTTTATCCATTCATCTGTTGATTGACATCTTGGCTCTTTCCATAGTTTGGGTATTGTGGACATTGCTGCTATAAACATTGGGGTGCACGTACCCCTTCGGATCACTACATTTGTATCTTTGGGGTAAATACCCAGTAGTGCAATTCCTGGGTCGTAGGGTAGCTCTATTTTCAACATTTTGAGGAACCTCCATACTGTTTTCCAGAGTGGCTGCACCAGCTTGCATTCCCACCAACAGCGTAGGAGGGTTCCCCTTTCTCCGCATCCTCGCCAACATCTGTCGTTTCCTGACTTGTTAATTTTAGCCATTCTGACTGGTGTGAGGTGGTATCTCATTGAGGTTTTGATTTATATTTCCCTGATGCTGAGCGATGTTGAGCACATTTTCATGTGTCTGTTGGCCATTTGGATGTCTTCTTTGCAGAAATGTCTGTTCATGTCTTCTGCCCATTTCTTGATTGGATCATTTGTTCTTTGGGTGTTGAGTTTGATAAATTCTTTATAGATTTTGGATACTAGTCCTTTATCTGACATATCATTTGCAAATAAATATCTTCTCCCATTCTGTCAGTTGTCTTTTGGTTTTGTTGACTGTTTCCTTTGCTGTGCAAAAGCTTTTTATCTTGATGAAGTCCCAATAGTTCATTTTTGCCCTTGCTTCCCTTGCCTTTGGCGATGTTCCTAGGAAGAAGTTGCTGCAGCCGAAGTTGAAGAGGTTGCTGCCTGTGTTCTCCTCAAGGATTTTGATAGATTCCTGTCTCACATTTAGGTCTTTCATCCATTTTAAGTCTGTTTTTGTGTGTGGTGTAAGAAAATAGTCCAGTTTCATTCTTCTGCATGTGGCTGTCCAATTTTCCCAACACTGTTGAAGAGACTGTCTTTTTCCCATTAAACGTTCTTTCCTGCTTTGTCGAAGATTAGTTGACCATAGAGTTGAGGATCCATTTCTGGGCTCTCTGTTCTGTTCCATTGATCTGTGTGTCTGTTTTTGTGCTAGTACCATACTGTCTTGGTGATGACGTCCAGAATTGTGATGCCACCAGCTTTGCTTTTCTTTTTCAACATTCCTCTGGCTATTCGGGGTCTCTAATGGTTCCATACAAATTTTAGGATTATTTGTTCCATTTCTTTGAAAAAAGTTCATGGTATTTTGATAGGGATTGCATTAAATGTGTAGATTGCTCTAGGTAGCATAGACATTTTCACAATATTTGTTCTTCCTTACTTTTTATTTTTTATCATGTTATTGACCCATTTGAACAAATTTGCAGTAAATTTTTAAATTCTGGGACAGTATTTTCTGATTTAAAAAATCCTGTTTTACAAATTTATGTTTATTGAATTTTTCAGATTTATTCTTGGTCAATCTGTTATTGACTCTTGGAGGATTATCTGATGTCACTGCAAGAGTGACTACACATTAGCTATCACAGTAATAACCTTTGAGATGTAATAGGGCTTAGTCACTGATGACATATAAATGTGTTTCTCTGTGTCCTTTTATTTTGCACATTTCTTATTATCCCTAAGCTGGCTCCAGGATATTTTGGTGTTGTTTTCAGTAACCCTAAAGAACACCATCCTGCTCCCGCCCTTGAGCATCCAGGTCCCTGAAGAGTCCAAGGAAGGGAATAGCATACAGTCCAGGGTCCAAGTGAGTGTGGGTGTGTATAGGGCACGGGCAGGTCAGATGAGCAGTGCAGTGGTTTAGCATTTGCCCTTGTTTGCGTACTAAAGTTACAGCAATATCTTTTACTTATACAAAGAAATGCATTCTCCTGGGGACCTTGAAGCGCCTAGCCCTGTCATCTAGTTTTATTTCCATATGTTTAGTAGAGGCATGACAGAGTGAAGGCTGCTGGCATCCTTCCCAGATCCCTTTTACCTGGTGCCTTCTGTGCTTCCCTCCGCCGGCCCTGTGCCGAGGCTGCACAGCTGCCTCCTTCCCTGGAGCACAGCCATGGGCTAACTGGGAGCCGAACAACCTCGGATAGTACCCCCTCTCCACTCCCACCCCTCCCAACTCAACACGGGCTTGGCTCTGTGGTGCAGTGTCCCCCATGGAGCTTCCCCAGGGCTCATCCAGGCCTCAGCTGAGACCACAAACTTGCCTGGTTGTGTTTCCCTTGTCCTGGCCTGCTTCCCTCACACCGTTTCTTCTGAGAGCGCTCCCTCAATAAGTCACTTGAATAAGAATCCCTGTCTCAGGTTCTGCATATAGACTGGCCTCAGATATGTAGGGGCAGAGGGTCGTTTTTGCTGTAGGGACACAAGCTAGTGTGAGCAACAGGACCTGTGGCCAGTGGGGGAGGGCGTGCCAGTTCTCAGTGGCCCACATTCCACCTCAGCTGGCGGCTGCACCATGGAAATCTCAGCCCAGGGCTGATCCTCCAATGTAGAGAAGCTAGAAATTCAGATTTTTATGGGAAATACTCCTCTTTTAAATGTTGACAGCTTATTTCATTTAAAAAAGTTCTGTGTAGGCAAACAAAGTTGCTACCTGCCGCCCTCATCCCAAACCACAGGCAAATCTACAGAGCCTCACAGACTACAACCTCGAAATATTCTTTCCTGAGAGGTTGCAGGCCCAGCAGGGGCTGTGTCTAGGAACTTAGGAAGGTGTTGCTATGTCTGGGGCTGGCGAGATTGCCCAGGGAGACCCCCTGACAAGGCAGAGGATAGAGAGCCAGGCCTCAGAACATCTGGTGTGTTCTCTGAAGCAGGGGCAAGAAGTAGGTAAGGCAAACTGCTAACTTCCCACAGAATTTGGAAATACTTTAGCTTTAGAATTTGTGGTAAATTATTTTGTTAACAAAAGCTAAGATAACAGTAAGACTTTTTTTTTTATTTTTTATTAACAGTAAGACTTAAGGGACCTGCTTCTCATTCCTGGTTTTGTTATTAATTATGAAGTTAGGTAAGCTGTTAGCCACTGATTCTCTGGGTTCCAAACTAGGGCATGGGTAGATCTACCCAGGAATGATTTAACAGTGAATTTTTGTTATTAAATATTGCCTTTTATTTATTAGTTTTGTTAGTATTTGTGTCTTGTCCCTCTCTTTATTTTAAACTCTTTTCTATCATTTACTTTGATTTTTAGGTAGATTGCTTACAAAGACCATATAGTTGGGACTTTTGTTGTTGCTGTTATGTCTTTGTTTCTTTATGTGTTCTTATTATTTCCTTATTCTTAATCTTTTAATGAGGATATTTAATTTATTCAAATTTATTATGACTACTGACAG